GTGATCGTCGATAATACAACTTCCCCTCCTCTTAATGTCATATCTGGCTTCCCTCGGAGTCCTGTTCTAGGTCAGTAACTTTTCATAAATTTTTATAAACGATAGTACCTCTCCATTATCACCTATAGTACGATTATATGCTGATTACCTTGTGCCTTATCGAAATATTTCTTCCATTGATGACTGCATAAGTTTTCAAGACTATCGAGAACCATTAACAGCTTGGTGTGATTCATAACTCATGATCATCAACCCGGATAAATCTAAAATAATTTTATTTTCAAAATCACAAAACAAAGTTGTTGTTTTCATATTCTATTTCGTTTGGCGACGTTGAGCGGGTGAAAACATTTAAATATTTAGGGGTGTAGCTCTACGAAGATTTATCATGGAAAAGTCACGTCAATTACACCTCTTCTGAAGGTAACAAAACATTAGGATTTTTAAAAAAGAATTCTTGCGAAATCCTTTTTTTAACCGATTAGCTTATATTACGCTTGCCAGAACTAAGCTGGAGAATGATTCGGTAATATAGAACCCGCATCGAAGCCATTTAATTAACCAATTGGAATGTGGCCAAAATCGCGCTACTCGTTTTGTCTCTGGTAAATACTCCCCCCCCCCCCCCTCCCCCTATTTTCTTTAAAACAATCCAAATCGTTACAAACTCTCGACATTCGAAGAAAAAGAGATCGGCTGTCTTTCATGCACAGGTTGTAACATAACGCCTGGTCTCCCCGAACCTTTATTTCGCCGTCCCACCACATTTCCTCTAGCCTCGAGCAGACCTGCAAAATGAACCCATTTTTACAAAACCAACATATTTAAATGCGCAACCCCTTCCATTATGCATATCATACTGGAATAGCGTACCCTCAAGCTTGGTAAGTAGTAATAAGAAGAACTGTTCTTAGCTAGAAATTAAAAAAAAAATATATTTGGAAGTTTATATAACGTTATTTCCTGATTTTTATTTTTTTTACTTCTTTTGTGCAGTGTTTTTTTTTTTTAACTATAAAAAATCGAATTTGACATTCTTCTTATGTAATGCCTTCCTCAAGAGGCCCTTAAGATTATAAAATGAAAAATAAATTAAAACGTTGCTTTCAACAGATACCCCGTGACACCTTGGCGTCACGGCCATGTGACCAAATGACGTCACGTGGCGTCACACAGAGGATAGCATGTGCCCAGCCCATTTCCAACACGTTGTGCTCTCCCCGGTCTTCGCTAGCATGAAGCTATGGTGCACATCTTACTGTTTTGCTCCATCTTTTGATTCTATCCTCAATGTGTTGTGCTCACAATATAGGACAGGCTAAGCTTGTTACCCTTCATTCCCATATGATGACCTTTCGGTAGAGTGTTTCCATAACGTGTCTGACCAAGGTCTCCTGGGAAACCAGGTTGCAGTGTTTGATTCTCAACGTCACGCTGACAAAACAAACGCGTGGCACCGATTGAACAACGATGGTGCGTCATCTTTCGGCCGAGGTTCGTGTCCAATCGGGAAGGAGACGAGTCTCAGCCGAAAGCTGACGCAGTACTCGTGTCTGAGCCGTGCCCCACGTTTGCGTCTTTAGGTGGCGTAGAAACTCCTGCCCTCCGTTTTCGTTTTAGCATTTAGGAGGCGGTAATCCGACCTCATCTTCGGGAGAAAGAAGAGTACACCAAATGAAAAAGGTATGAACACACGGTCAAGTTAGACTTGCATAAGTAAACCATAACTGCAAACAAACTTAAAACAATAACCAATAACCACATGCGACGTTTTAAAACGTCCCACGAGATTCTCCTTTTTTCGTTGTTTTCTTCATTACAGCAATAGTTGTTACAGAGGCTTCTCAGCTGCATTCCCGGCGTCAATGTAGTGCTGCTCAGAACACTCCTAGACATCGTCAAATCACGTGACCACATCCAAACAGATTGGTTCACCGCTCGGCCGAGATAAAGGCGAACCTTTTCGAATAATAAACGGCTGGCTCTCCATCGGTGCTTTACTTGCTACAACGGGCAGTGCATGATTTCTATTTCATTTCCAATAAAACGCATCAAATGGAAAAAAAACTAATAAAAACGATGGTTCGTAGAAAATTTTCAGCTACATGGCGCCGGCTTTCGAAGCGACTGGGCAGCTGCTCAGCTGCCGTAAGCCGCCTGGGCCGCTGCCGCCATCTGTCGGTTGTTGCGCCAGTCCGAGAGTGCGCGCTTTGCAGACGGGCCCTATTAGCCCCGAGAAGTTTGCGTAACGCCCCCTTACGGCGAACCGGGGTGACGTCACGGCGAGGAGAGTATTTTTCCCCGACTCGCCCCGCTCGCCCTGTGGAGGCTGTGACGACGCTAGCTGTCGGCGCGCTCGTTTCTATTTAATTTTTTTAGGCGTGTTTTCCGTAGGAAGTGTAAATTTTTATATGAGCCTTTATTTAGGTATGGCCTGTAGCTACAGGCGAAACTTCAACAAACATTTTAAGCATGTTTGACAGGGCAGGCAACGCATAAATCGCTGCTGGTATATGAAAATAAAGAAATATGGCCAAAATTGCGGGAGCATCATTATAGATTTACACCTCGCACAATAAATGCTGTTGATGGTCTGAATAAATTGGCAGGTTATGTATACGATTTTTCTTTTGTATCTCTGTTTTTAAACATGATCGCCGAAGCAGAAAAGCTGCATGCTCCTCGAGCAACATGCTAAATACAGCCTGGGCCATGGGGAGAGAATCACAAGTAAGACAGCCCAAGTGCAGGAGCAAAGTAAAAAAAAACAAGAAACATTTATTATATACATTGCTCGCATTTAACCTTTGCTAGAATCGGATAGTATTTTGAAAGGACTACACGGGTGATATTTGTGGACTTGTTTATATCGACCTTTAAGTAATGTATAACAAACGTAAGCGAAGGTGCCTAGCTCGTTATTAGACCCTTAAGCCCTAAAATTGAGATTTTACTTAAATCGAAGTGTCCTGAAGCTAAAATACCAGAAGCTTTTCTCACGCAGACTGTCGCCCTTCACAGGTTCCACATTTTCTGCTACTAGTGCTGCATCTACCACTGGACAGACGTTCGAATGCTTGCTTTTACTCCTGTTTTGCTCTGTTGTCAGAGAGTCCAGCTGTAGGGAGCTTGAAGGCTGAGGAAGCTTTTGGGGACCTGTAGCAGTCTGTATTAATTGGAAATGACAATTCATACTAAACCGTGTATTTTTTAATACCCAAGGCTGGAATAAAGAATGTCAGGAAAAGTATAAACATTCCGAATTACAGCACTATTGCTGTGCATATTTTGGCCAGTTCAATACATATCATACAGGCACCTGGAGGCAATTCGGCCGTTTTTGCTGCTGCCATACAAACTAATTTTCAGTAATTGTGCATCTTCTAAGAAATATGCCTGCATACGTGTATAAACTATATAATTAGTTCACGAAGAAGCTACAGTTATGTAAAACAGCCCTGTTCCACGAGCACTTCAAAGACCATCAGCCGCAGGGCCTTTAAAACTTCTGCGAACCAGCGCATGCAGAGTGGAAGCGCAGAGTCGGCGGTCGCGAGCTAATTTGCCGACCACTCAAAGGCCCATGATATAAGTGCCACTTCAAATGCCTTGAAAGCGGGATGTAATATCGGTGCTGGGAAGCGAGCCGAGGCGAGATCGCGGAGCGGAGTACTCCCCCTGACGTCACGGTACACCTCACCCAATCAGGGCGCGGCGACCGCAGCGACGCTTGTGTTCGCTCTCGGGGCTAATAGAAAGAAAACAACTATAATCCGTCGCAACTCAAGAAGGTAGGGCGAAGGTAAGACGGGCCGGGGAGGAGAAAGGAGACGCAACTCTGAAGAAGAGGAAGGGAAACCTCCTTCTCTATTTAGCGTTCCAACGGCTTCCTCCTCCCCGGCCTGTCTTATCCTCGCCCTACGTTCTTGAGTTGCAACGGACTATAGTTATGTTTTAGAGCGCAGCTCTTAGGCGCCCATTTCCGGCTTGAGCGGCGTCGCCGTCGCCGTTGGCATCGGCGTAACCGCGCGGTGCATTATGGGAAATGTCCCATAATGCACCGCGCGAGCCCCCCCCCCCCCCGAAGTCACGTGACCCCGGGGGGGGGGGGGGGGGGGCTCGCGCGGTGCATTATGGGACATTTCCTACAATGCACCGCGCGACCCCCCCCCCCCCCGAGGTCACGTGACCACCCCCTAGGTCTCGTGAGCCCCCCCCCCCCCCCGAAGTCACGTGACCCTCCCCCCCCGGAGGACATTGAAGAAAGAGGAGAGGAGGAGGAGCAGGAGGGGTATACCCTCCCCTGAGTACCCTTCCCTCCTCCTCCTCAAGAGCTGGGCTCCAATTCGGCGTTACAGGGAGTTGTAAACGTCTTTCACTTTTTTAGAGCGCAGCTCTTAGGGGCCCATTTCCGGCTTGAGCGGCGTCAGCGTCGGCGTCGTCGTCGCCGTCGGCGTAACCACGAGGTCACGTGACTCCCCTCCACCTAGGTCACGTGACCCCCCCCTTCCCCCACCTCACGTGACCCCCTCCACCGAGGTCAGGTGACGCCACACCCGGAGGGATTGAAAAATGAGGGCAGGAGGAGAATAAGGAGGAGGAGGGGTATACCCTCCTCTCAGTACCCCTCCCTCCTCCTCCTTAAGATCTGCGCCCTAATTCGGTGTTACAGGGAGCTGTAAATGGCTTTGACTTTTTTTAACCCCTTGGTCAGGTAAGTTTTCTCTTGGAAATTTTGATGCAATGCTTCCATCTCCTTTTGGCACCTTTGTGGTAGATCGTAGCGCGACACGTTTCCATGCCGATTAATGCGATAACTGTAAAGGCTTCTCCAAAGTTGGGACTCTGTTCTAGAACCAACCGCCAGGATCTCGAAATCCAACAGCATAACGCACCAGCTCCTGTGAGTCGATTTGTCGCCACTTCTAGACCCGGTTCGCGGCAGGGCGAGTTCGGGACGGAAAGCACGATAGTCGAAGACGCGTTCCAAACAGCCTTACCTCGGCGTCGAACGCCTTCCCGTCGATTCTGTGCTCGGAGCCTGCCCCTGTGCCGTTCCCGAAACGGAAAATTCCCTTGGACATGTTGTGGCGGACCGTGAGAGGACCTCCGTATGTTTCCAGGTGAGCCCCCAGGGGCGTGATGTACACTGCCGAGAAGAACACCAGTGTTTTTGCGTCTTTGTTCAAAGGGGTCATGCGAGAATATTGGATGGGAACGCTTCTCGCTTTACACAGGCTAACCGGTACATGTGGGACCCGAGTATACAAGCACGCAACACCACTGAAAGAGAAGCTTCTTGATGGCGGTGTCATTTCATGGGTATTTTTTTCCAATCTTTCGTTCCCAAAAACTTGACGACGTGGTCACAAAATCGCAGCGTTGACATAACCTTAGGGTTACCCATGGGAGCGATATTTAAATGCTGCTCATTGATTGAACACAAGCACTGCGACAGCATTCGATTTGAGCTCGTGACAGTCAATGTCTCACTAGCTGGAATGACTGGAATTGCCGACCCCTAACATTGTCCGAAACTCAACGCGTGCCCTGTGTTTTGCCAACCCCACCGAGTGACTGTGATAAACACTGGCGGCGTATTAATGGCGCCAGATCACGCGGTCCACTGTTCTGGCTGCGAGTCGAGGGCATGAGCGCTGCTCGTTTTTCTCAAATATTTACTGCGGCTGATAATGAGTGAGAAAAAAAAACAAATAAAATAACCGTATTTTGTTAGTTATTGATGACAAGGACAAATTTTAAGCAATATATAGTAGAAGTAAAAATGAAAGCCGTTTGCACCTCTCTGTAACGCCGAATTAGAGCGGAGCTCTTGAGGAGGAGGAGGGGAGAGTACCGAGGGCCACGTGTTCTCGGGGGGGGGGGGGGGGGAGGGGGGGGGGGGGCCACGTGATCTTGGGGTGGTGTCACGTGACCTTGCGAGGTCAGATGACCTCGGCGGGGGTCACGTGAACCCCCAGGTCACGTGACCCCCCAGAGAAATTTTTTCCGCTCGATGTACGGGGAAATTGTTCCGCTAGATTTAGCGGGCAAATTTTTCCGGTAGATTCAGCGGGGAAATTTTTCAGCTATGTTTAGCGGGGAAATTTTTCCGCTATATTTAGCGGGAAAATTTTTCAGCTAAATTTAACGGGGAAAATTTTCAGCTAAATTTAGCGGGGAAAATTTGCCGCTAAATTTAGCGGGGAAATTTTTACGCTAAATTTATCGGGAAAATTTTTCTGCTAGATATAGGGGGACATTTTTCCGCTAGATTTAGCGGGGATATTTTTCCGCTAGATTAAGCGGGGAAATTATTCCGCTAGATTTAGCGGGGAAATTTTTCCCCTAGATTTAGCGGGGAAATTTTTCCGCTAGATTTAGCGGGGAAATTTACCCATAATGCACCGCGCGGTTACGCCGACGGCGACGCCGCTCAAGCCGGAAACGGGCGCCTAAGAGCAGCGCTCTAAAAATCGCTGAATCGCCTTTGTAAAATGGGCAAGCTCGCTGATATTTCTAATTTGAAATTCCTCCTCAGACGAGTGCAGTTTTCAATGAACGGTCCGCGTCCATTCATCGAGAGGGGCACGCTGAGGAAACATTACCGCACAGGTGTAATTTACCAGCTGACGCAAAGTCGTTTCTCGAGGCATCGCGGTCAAACGCACTCAACCGCAATTGTCTGCTAAGACATTTAAAGGGGTGCGGCAACGAAATTTAGTTTGCTTAGATGTGACCTATGTTGTACCGGCAACCCAGAAACACTCGCCTAGAATCAGTGGCATAGCCAGGGGCGAGGCTTAGAGGGCTTCAGTCCCTCCCCCCCCCCCCCCCCCCCCCCCGAAACCCAGCCGACCGTTTAATATTCGCAAGCATTTTGACCCCTCTCCCTCCGCAACCCGAGTCATGGACATCCCCTCCCCGTTGCATATGTTAACCTCCACAGTGCTTTCGCAACGTGCATTCCACTCCACCAAGATCGCTGTTCTTTGCAAACGATAGGTAGGAGCTTGATCCAAGGATACAAGGACTAAAGTAACTTGTGGGAAAGTAGCGGCGAGCTCTCCGTATGATCGTCATTTTGGATCACGAAATTATAAATTTATTCTTGACCTCTCCGTTCTTGATGAGCCGGTCTAAATTCGCTGGTGACGAATAGCTTTGTTGAGACGTTTCTTGTACACCGTTATTTTCCTATCCACACACCGGCGAAAACGGTGTACGTATTCGTACCATATCCACCACATCCGGTGCCGTTGCATGGAGGCATCGGAAAATAATTTTCCATTTTTGAAGCATGAAAGATCAGTAAAATTGTAAGAGATCCGTGAAGGTCGGCATGAATGATAACATAGTAAGTATGCAGGCGAGCTGGTGAATTAATGTTAACCATGTTGAATAATCCTGAGACTGGGGCAGAAATGAACATTTATAAGTCGAAGGAGCAGAAGGAGACGTCGCCCTGTCCTTTTCTGTTTCTTCGACTCATATGTTCATTTCTGCCCAATAGACTCAGGTTTATTCGACTTGAGTGATAAGTTGATCGTACACACAGTTCCAAAGAGGCTTATATTCGCGAGGAACGCCTTCAGTACGATGATGCTTCATGGTGATCTTGGTGTCACTGGATCAGAACGACCCTCTCGAAGCTTCGAAATCTTGAAGGGGCCGAAATGGAGAATTGCCATAGCAACAGGGACCGATTAGCCATCGCCTTGCAAGGTTTTGGACGTCTGTATGTTGGTGTTTGTTTGTGTTCGGCTGACAGGCAGGGAAGGCAATGACACTACTTTCCCCAGGATCCAGTGACATTAGCGGGGACCTCTGCCAGGCCAAACGTACCACTACCCTCTGTGAATGAAAATTCACTAATGAACTTTTCAATTAGTGAAAATAGACATACGGTTCCAATAAGCAGCTAGCGGGGCGTCGTCCGAAATCCCTAAATCAGTCGTTTTCAGAAAGTCTTTCAGCGCGTGAGAAGCGCACTAAAGCCACCACTCGTGGAGCAGGTACAAGGCTAGCGGTTTCGGTAAGGCGCCCGCGCAATTTTTCTGTCTCTTATCTAGCCCCAGCCTTGTACCTGGTCCACGAGTGGTAACTTCAGCGCACTACTGCGCTTCACAGGCGCTCAGTCTTTCTAAAAATTACTGGTTTAGGGGTTTTGGACTACGCTCAGCAAGTTTCTAATTGAAACCATATGTCTATTTTCACTAATTAAAAGTTAATTAATGAATTTTATTTAATTAGCCGACTTATCATAAAGATTAGCAAACTACATAACGTCCCCCTCGGCGTATCACTCTCGCACAAACCGCATAAGTGCAGCGTTCACGGCTTCTCTTAAAACAAATCTGCAAGAATAAAAAAAAACAAAAAAAAACGGTATTTATTGTGTTGGTAGTTGACTCTTCGACCCTCCACAGCAGGAGCAATGATAAACTGTGCCGCGCTCGGCTGTAGCAATTACCCGGTATCCCGAAGATCGTTTCGTTAGCATAAACCGCGAGACAGTAGGGAGTTTTCGTAGACCGCGCTACCCCCCTCCGCTAAGCGTTCCGCAACGAAGGAGTCGCTACTGCGCCTGCGCGCCGATAGCCTTGACTGTGGAGTTCCCGCTATCGTAGCGGATTGCGGAGGGCCTTGCGGGACGGCGAAAACGATCTACGAAAACTCCCTAGTGTCCGTCAAGTTAGAGAAAGTACACGCGGGAGGAGAGGGATACGCCCGCAGATGACCTAGCATTGTTTACCAGTATTTCGCAAAATCGTAACAATCTTTCTACAAGCGACTCGTAAAGCCGCTCGTCAAATTTTGGAACGCGTAATTAAGAGTCTGTGCTGCTGCTGTTTCTTGGCGACACGTCAAAACTTTGTCGGTGGCATGTCGAAACTTTCTGCTTGTAGCGCAATCGCACCAATGCCGAAACATTCTGCACAATGATTCTACAGGCTGCCAGGAGATAAACGCGGCCTAAATCTAGAGGTAATCTCGAGGAATACATTTAGGAAAAACGATCAATTGTCACGAAGTAGGTTGCAGCGCACTTACGTTGACGAGACGCGACTTGAAAGGTGTTGTTCGAGGGAGATGTCGACACGGCCACGGCAAAACAACCACTCGAACACAGAAACGAGAAGGTGCCCGTGAAGATACTAAACGCATCACAAAAAAATTCTTGGGCTTCTTTGAAGAAATCGCTTGCAGAAGCAGACATACGCGTCTGCCACAGAGGGAGAATTCACACGCCATACTAGGTCCTGCTAAACGCATTCCGAGATCGGCAACGGCTAATGCGTCATCCGTCAAACCACGTGACCACTCGCCTTTTACAACGCTTTCAGCTTAGGAAGAGAGAAAAGGATCGAAGGAGAGGACAAAACCGGGTTTCACGAACAAAAGGCTTATCTTTTGGGGCCACAACGAGGAGATGTGTCACAGGTAACGAAAGTTGACAGTGCTGTGAATGCTATGTGTGGCCTTGGGCGCCAGGCAGGTGCGATGTCCTGCTTTGTCACCAGAAGTTGGTCCTGGTCACCAGATTCTAGACTGTAGTCACGTGACCCTAACCGGAGACACGATTGGCCTAAAACACGCGTAGCGTCTACCCTGCTGTCAATAACGAGTGAGCATACAGCTCTATGAAGTCTAGCTTTTGAACTGAAAACGATGCGAGTTTCAAGATACTATGTTTTACGCTGTATAACAATTATAATTTTAAATGAAAAAGTTAACGCGACTATTTTTTTTTTGTGCATGATGTCGACAAATAAATAGATAAATAAATATGTATATATATTTTTACCAATAAATTTAAAATCACGTGTACACTGTTTCAAACCTTTTTACGAAAGAGTTACACATAAAAGACACCACGGACAGCACATCTTCCGACTTTCAACACACGATGAATCGCCGTCGCTCGCAAACGAACGGATGCGATGCTGCGCGAACGGTTTTGAAAGAGCTGCGTATTGTACGCCGGGCGCAACGGCTTCCGTTCGAAGGGTAAAGGATTCGGGACGGCGAAGTAGCGTCTTGCACCTTGAGTAAGCTAACGGTTCGCGTTTACCCGCTCAATTTAGCAGGGAAACATAAAAAAAAAAAAAATTGTTTCACTGCCAGATTTCGCGGGAAAATTGACGT